GTTAAGCATTAATAGTATTGAAAAGTTAAAGGAATGTAGTTCAGAAGAGAACATCAGCGATCGGACGCTCACACGATCTCTCTTCGTGAATATCAGTGAACAAGAAAATAAGTGTGGTATTATTTCTGCAGAGAAATCAAAGGCCATACGAAATGTGTACGAAAAGGTCCAACTCATAAACCGTCATCACGATAATTAATACTCCATAATCATGTTTCATTGTCGTGAATTCTATAAGGCTGAGCGTTCCGCTAAGTCGAATTCCTTAGTAGTTTACGAAGGCTTTCGATTTCACCAACTCATAATATATCTTAACTTACGCTTATACATGATCTTAGAAGATTGTTGACCATGTGATGGTGTACAGTGGAAATTTGTCGATCACAGAGATGTGTGTTTAGGCAAAAGACATTTGAATAGTGGTTAGCTCCTCTCATTCTTTGCTTTTTCTACACCTATTCTTTTTTGATTGAACTGCAAAACTCTGAAGTCATGTAATGGTAGTGAGAATCACCCACAAAAGAAAACGTATGCATTGGTTAGTCAGTGGACTAATAGTTCCTGCTCCATACAAAATAGCGGGAGTGTATATTTAGAATTCTATTAAATAAACGAAGAAAGCATTGTTGAGACAGTTGATTGTAACAGGGACCAACATGACTGAGGTCATTAGTTCTGAAGAATACTTTAAACAGTTCAGTTTAGAGAGTAGTAATAGTAATACTTAAAGAGGTAATCAATGGACAGTCGGGAATTAACTAGACTTTATTTGTCCAACATTGATTGGAGATCTGATATATGAAGAAACTTACAGGAGAGCAAATACCGTACACTAGGTGGGTGTATCACAGTTTTTCGGTTACGCGTACTTGACAAATCGGTTTGCATAAATTCCTTCTCTGTTCTTGTTCACTTAACTGTAATATTTCGGATAACATGAAATTCAAGCAGAATGTAGATAATGAGGACTGGAAGAGGGATTTCAGAATATGTTCCTTACAAAGTAATTGTTTGAATCGCCGACTAAGCTCTCTGTGAATAAGATAACATAAACGCCTAATTTTATAAGCAATATACAACGTATTTGAACTCACTATTTACTGTCATGTTAACACTTTCCCCAACTATACATCACTTAATTTATTAGTAGTTTTATTTTGTGTGGGCTGTTTAAGCTCTAAAAGAAATTCTCGAAATCAAAAGCATAAACATAAAACATTTGATTTGGTGAAATCTTCATCTCTGAGTTTATCAGGGTTCCCCACTTGAGTTCGCTACACTTGGTATTACTGCCAAAGGGGAGGCGGAAGGGATGCAGTTCTGCGGACGCCGTTGGGAGGCCGAGAGATGAGTGATTAGTTTGTGTGGTTCGGCCTAGGAAGTAGACGTAAAGTGGAGTGTTCTGGCAATGTGGTGTTGGGTGTACTAGACGCTGTCGATGGCGATAAGAAGTGGGACGTCCGGTTTAAGAAGAAAGCCTCACGGCATGCAAAACATCTACAGGAGCGACCGTTTGGAGGGCGAGGGGAAGAATCTGGTGGATGCTTAGTATGCTGACAGTTTTAAGAAGCATTTAGGAACAATCGGAAATATAATACCGAGAGCAGAAGATTGAAATGAAGAGAACAGAAAGGAAATCGGAGAGGAAATGAAATAGCAACAGAATTAGAGGAATGATGGATTATGTAAAGGACAACGCGAAGATGTGCAAATGTTATATATGTGTGATTTCTATATTTTCCAAAGCCACTGTGTGATTGTGCACTAAACGACAAATTGGATTTCCCCACATGAGTTCTCGTCTACGACAATACGAGTATGGGAAATACCATTTATTTCCTGAATTTATTCTGATGGTACTGTCCAAAATGAGAATTATAAATTCGTTTGGCGTGCAGAACAAAATGACTCCAATAAAAAATTGACATAAATGCAAAAAAAGTTTTTATCAATAATAAGACCTACGGAAATGTTGTCTACAATTAGGTTGGGAAATAATCCATTTCCGTCCCAATAAGTCCAGGATTCGAAGTTCCTGTCGGCTGCATTCATCACAGCGTTACATTCAACCGTATTTATTGAATCTGGATTGCCATCAGGAAGACACAGACCGAATTCTGTTAAAAACCGTCCTCCACCAGTGTATTTAACTATACTTCTCACATTATTGAATGCATAATTCAAGAGAAGCTACACAAGCAATATCAATGTTAACATTGATTAAGTATGTGAATGATTATTACAATAAAACTAGACTGCAATAAACTGCATACACTGCGTCAAAGCAATAAAACATTAATCATTTTGTTCATTGACCTATCACTGATTACATTTATGACTGAGCCGTAATTCAGAAATCACCACAAATATATGAAGAATGAAATTAGTTATGAAATTCCACACAGTATGAAGGACGGTTTGAATACATTGATTGTTAGTGTATTCATGAAATCACATCATGTCAGTTCATTCAATCATCAAACATTTATTTTATAAACTGATTAGCACCTATTACTATTAATTACAGTTTTCATGTCAAATCATTGTTTAGATTTTCATTCCTAGATTACTCTACAGCACTTTAATTAAGTTCAGTTTGTTTTCTGGTGTTTTGTTCAACACAATCAGTTCATCATTTATTAAGGACACATTAAACATTTATCCATATCAGTTGTAACTACCATTTGTATTTTAAAAGAAATATTCACTGTTTTGCCTAACATCATACATTCAGTATGTGCAGACCGCAAATGGGTGCTCGATCAAACAAAATAACGTGTTTGTCAATTTCATTTTTACAATTGATGTCATACAGGTTGGTGCGAATAACAGAGTAGAATTGCACTTCCCCTTATATCTATCGATGTAATAATCGGGTTAGAATTTCACTTTACTTCATAAACTGGAGATTGTGTCAACACAGAACATGTGTACGATTGTATGCAAAATCCTATGGTGCTTATGAATGGGTTTCAATAAACAACTGAGTTTAATCATGGCCACAAAATAACTGATTTTACTTTGAAAGATAACACAAAATACATATTAATCTAATGCTTCTATTTACACTTCCACTGTTAGTTTATAGGTGGTTTTGGCTAATTCACTATATCTCAAGAATACAAAGATGACAGAATCCATACTTATCATTGCTGTATAGAATTATTCGTCATTGTTGTTTATTCACCTACGCCCAACTTCAGACACACCCATTACTATAACTTTTGCTAGTTAGGATGATTCATACAACATAAATGCTATTACTGTATAGAAGGAATGTAGAAATTTCTCATCTTATTTAACTTGTTTTAATCAATTACAAAGTACACAATCGTTCTAACAATTTTGCAAACTTATTCATCATCATCATATTGTTTACTGTGAGTATTTTTATGGTGAAAATAAATGAATTGGTGATTGGTAATTGATAAATATGAGCTAGTTTATGGAAGTTTTTCAATCAATTCTAAGTAAATAAATTCTGAAGTACGTGAATATTTTGGTGTTGTTTTCATTATTATTTATTTTAATTATTATTATTATCATTTCTATTTTTGGTATTAAACCTAATCCTTATGAAAGCTTTGGTTTCCACAGAGGATCAGCGTCAGTGAATGTATTACATAAAACAAGAAATATTTATATGAATCATTGTCCTATAGCGGGACACCTCAGGAGTAATCACACACAATTACAACAGATGTTAGAGCACAAACATTTATCCCTGAAGGTAGGAAATGAAAATGTAGACCCCTAACATAAATATAACTCATTAAATATTACTGTTAAGTCAATTCACGATGGCGCTCGATGATCATGCAATGTCATAAATGACAAATATCTCAACGTCGATATGGCTTAACGATTTGTAATTCAGATCTAGCGAAATTTCTTAGTGTGCTACATGGTTTCGGGAACAAAAATGAGTTACAAGTAATTGCTTGAGTTTACTCAAATTTAATTTCCTAGTCAATATTTACATATCTAATAAGCGTATTGAAAATGGTCAGCTATATAAATGAAACGTGTGCGATAATAACTCCATACGTTTACATAGATGAGAGATAATTTCGCTTCGAAATTTCTGTCAAGGACTAACAAACCAAAACCAACAGATAACTCTTTTCATAAGTCATCAAGTAACTCAATGGCATTAATAAACTATTTAAAGGTGAAAATTGTGAAGCACCTCAGAATTACGACTAGACAAATGTTCATGGTCTAAAGGATTCGAGTGGTCAATCAATCATTTTAATATCATGATCGACATTAGTTGAAATATTTAGAAAGGCATATATCTAATAATGAGGCGATCAAGAGTAAAATCTCAGCAGATCTAATGCTTCATTTTTATAATATTTTCAAGAGAGGTATCAATTACTGAAGCTAAAGCCTACTTTCACATGATTAGTGCTTGCAAAAACTTAACAGAATATCGAGGATTCTATGTTGCTTAACTCACATCCAATAATCAATGGCGTTCTTCCTATATGAAATTTGTTCAAATAATTAAATTTTGGGCTTGACAATAACGCAAGGAATTCAGCTGACTGAAGCTAAATTGACAATCATCGTATGCTAAAGTGCTGATCTGAAAACGCACTCGCTAAGACATATTAAGACTTTAGGTTTGATTTCTGGTAGGGTTTTAAGCACTCCCTACAGACTAGTGAATAGTTGTCGGGTTAACGTCAGGATATGGTGTGAAATGTAAGTGGCATTTTATTATGAAAATACTTTCGGTCAGCGGTCCTTCGACGTTTAACTTGATTGAATGAAGCTGTTCTGAATATAGATCCAATCATTTATTTATTTAGAAAATATTATTAGGAGTGACAACAGATTTCAAATTTTCCAGTCAAGTCCGATAATCAAGTTACGAATAAAATGAAAGCCAGTTAGCTTATGCTAAAAAATATCAGTTGGTTAATGTTGATATTAAAGCATCGAGACATTGGAATGCATATGCGTTACAAACAATAAACCAGGTAATTGAACTCTCACTTTATCACACAAATATCGTTTCCATGATGGCATATTCTCTGTAGATGGTGTCGATTCCAACAACCAACAGTAGTAATGATAAGATAATACACTCTTCTTTCTGGCCGTCTCATCTTGTAATAAACCGGGAACACGTTGGATACCAGTACCAGGTATTCCATTAACAAATGGAAAATATATTCCATAAGTTACACTCTCGTAAAATATCAATGTATTCTTGTCTGTTTGGCGGATAACATTTACCAAATAATCATAAAATGATAAGAGACTGTGACCTGCATTATCTGTCCGAATATAAAATGAAAAAGATCGGAATTGTAAGAATTGAAATAGATTTTGAGAATGAATATAAGTGAAAGTTGACAAAAATAAACATATCTGTTGCGGACAGAATGTTTTCAGGAAGATAGATTGTGGTAGGTAATGAAATTCATGACGCTCGTTCAATTTTATTGGGGACTTATTAAATGGGTCATCTTACATCTAAGCCTTCGTATTTGTATTCAAGTTAAGAATATCATCAGGGAAATCTATTCTCTTCTAATAATCACCAAATGTTCTTCATTTGTAAGACTTCTTTTGAGATTAAACGATGTGAACAAATCAATCACCCAACATGGCATCGTGCATAGTATAGGTTAATGAGTAAGTCAATTAATTTTGGCGGATCTTATCTCGATGTCTGTTTTGTTGATTACATTCACGATGGAAAAACAGACAGAATGAGTGATAATCGTAATAATGAAGATGGCGAATTCCGAAATCACACTGACTGAAATTATAAACACGTAACATAGTTCTACATAACATCTTTTTATTCTTAATACGATTGTCATTATGATCAATATTACTATCATTTTTTGCCCATTTATTTATGTGTTCTAAATTATCACCAACAAAATATTGAATAGCTAAAGACAATAGACAAATCGTTTTGTTCGTTGTTAGTTCACCTGTTGGTATTAATTGTCATTATGATAAAATATATTTTATGCTTGTCATCTACTTTCTAATATTCAATACTGCAGTCGCCATATGTTATTTCTGGATGAATCAGGTTAAAAATGATAAGATGTTCGTTTAATTGCTTTAGTAAATATTTTATTGATAACCATGGCTACGATTGATCACTTGCTTCTAGAATCTGATTGCCATTAGAACTACTCAAATACTGTCAATTCGTATGAAACGTATGAGTTATGTGATAGCTGCTTATTATCAATCACAGGTTTAGATTGCATAATTATGTTTTGCGATTTCATTTTTATTGAGGTAATGGACCAACCAATGTCAGATTACCATTGGTTACCTGGAAGCACTGGAAGGCTGTTCAGTCTTGAAATTTGACTTCTCAGCAGTGAGCATCCATGGTCCTGCAAGCGGGACGCGCACTGTTGAAAAATCACGTTTTAAGACGAGATGGCCATCCAGTGTTTCAAGGTTTACAATAGGAAGTCGACAGTTTCCACAACTCTAAACTGATAATTTTGTTTGTTAGTGAGATATTGTCACAATGGCATGTTGCAAAATATGAGAGATATTTTCACATCCGAACAATGTCAAGATCAAAGCGACGTGAAACTCCAGACAAGATGAAGCGAAAGTGGTCGTTTCATATATTTGTATCAATCAGCAAATTTCCTTTGAAACTAACATACATATGTGTTTGAATCGACTTTTTGTATCTGGCTAGGATATTGTAACTCAGAAGCCGCTCTATATGTTGGGTTTTCGGTACAGATTCTATAAAGATAATATTCTAATCCGAAAATAACTTATTCATAACTCCTATTGAGTCAGGTTTCAATGTGAAGCTAGCAGAAGGAATATATGTGTAGGTAGTAAGCAATGTTCAAGCATATTATTTCATACAAGCACAACAATAATAAAGATCAGTCGGTAAGTAAAAGCTTAGAACTTCGCATGTACGTACATCGGTTCGAATCGCCACACCACATTAGCACAGAGATGCATTTTTCGGTTCAAATCTCACAGTGGTAGAGGTAGGTAAGAGTATAAGCAGTAATCGGAAAGATTAGGGTTTAAAGATGTTATTCAAGGAGTATAATACAGTGAAATAAATATGGAAAGAGAAAACAAGCGGGGACATGAAGAATTCATAAGATTAGAATTTGGGAGAACACAAAGAGTGGATGCACCTGCGCCATTGCAAACGATTTTCAACCATGTCATTCAGAGTCTCTAACCATCGGATGCTATCATCTCGCGGTTCCCAACCAAGTAGTCTACACCTACCAACATGACTCAGTCCACTTGTCAGTGACTTCATGGACTTGTGCCATGTTTTGGTCTGGCCGCCTCCAGCTTTCTTCCAACCTACTCCTATACCACTGAACATCACACATCGAGGCAGTCGGTTGTTGGGCATACGTAACACGTGTCCCAGCCATCTCAACTGATGAAGTTTCACTACGTCATCAATTGATTTGCCATCCTTACCTAGTACCCGTTTCCTAACAACTGCGTTACTTACTCGATAGTCCCAGGATATACGAGCAATATTTCGAAGACACCTATGGTCAAATACTAGTAACCTACGGATATCCTCTACTCTTACCGGCCATGTTCCACTGCCATAAAGTAGGACGGGACGAACTGCTGCGCAGTAAACCCGTCCTTTGGTTGATAGACGGATATCTCGCCTACGCCATAAATGACGCAAGTTGGTAAAAGCTAGTAGAGCCTTCTGTGTCCGTGCTGAGATTTCGTCACACACCAGACCACAAGGGCTGATGAGACTTCCAAGATAAGTGAAGCGGTCGACACGCTCAATTACTTCACTCCCTATCATTAGTTTTGGTGTCAATGCAACCCAATCCTGAAGCAACATTTTACATTTCGAGGGGAGAATCACATCACGAACATGCTTGCATTGTTGCTTAGAGTGGTCAGAAGACTGCATTTCGTCAGCGTCTTCAACAAATAGAACTATGTCATCGGCATATTCCAAGTCAACAAGTGAATCTCCTGGTAGAAGTTCAACCCTTGCAAATTTAGACGAGGAATGTGTCATCTCTAACAGCACGTCGACGACAAAGTTAAACAAGAATGGAGAAAGTGGACAGCCCTGACAAACACCGCTTGAGGGAATCAATTCTGATGACGGTTCGCCATAAACTCTTACTCGACCAGTTGTGCTCGAGTAAAGAGCCTTTATAAGGTTAATGTACTTCTTTGGTACTCCTTTAGGTGACAAACACTGCCATAGAACCTCACGATCAACAGAGTCAAATGCTGCCTTAAGGTCGAGAAATACTACGATTGTGGGGCGTCTGAACGTGAGTCTGTGTTCTAGAACCTGACGTAGTGTGAATATCTGGTCTATACAACCACGTCCAGGTCGAAAAGCAGCCTGGTTTTCTCTAGTCCGCTCTTCACGAGCTTTAGTTAGACGTCGAAGTATTACTCAAGCTAATATTTTAGACACTATATTTGTCAAACTGATTCCTCTGTGATTGTCACAAGAGGACTTTTGTCCTTGCTTATAGACTGGCATAATCAGTGATTGATGACCAGTCAGATGGGATTACGTCCAGTTCCCAAATTCTATTTAAGACCTCAGTCAATCTCACTGCTAATACTGGACCACCATCGTTAAAATCTCAGGAGTAAACCTATTAGGGCCTGCTGCTCTCCCTCGCTTCAGATTTCCTATGGCTTTTTCAACTTCGTACAGAGACGGAGGACCTACATTAACTTGCCATTCAGGTTGACTGGAGATCGTGGGAAACCGAAGTATGGCTGAAAGCCAGTTGAACTGATCCCTAAAGTGTTCTGCCCATCGATCCAATCTCCTGGATTGAGAATGAATAATATGTCCATCTTTCTCTGAGATTGTTTCGCTAACAGTTGGGTTCCTAATACCGGTTTCCTTAACAAGTCTGAACAGTTGTCTGCTATTATCCATTCCCGCTGCCTTTTCCATCTCTATTGCTTTCGCTACCCAACACTTTTCGCGATCATTGCGTAGGCTTCTTATCAGCCTGCGCTTAAGCCGATTCCTCTCTTCGTCATGTTCAGAGCCAGATGGGATGAGTTTTCGAGCATCTATCAGTGCGGTAGATGCTGCTGAGATCCAGTGTTTCTCCCTAACCTTGTGGCTTACCGTACTAACAGAGATCACTGCTGTTTCCGCAGCTTTTCGGATATCATTCCACGCTCCCTTGGGGTGGGTATCACATACACAGCTGCCTAACTGTTTTTCCAGTTGTTCCTGAAATATACTCTTAACTTGACTATCATTAAGTAGGACCCTAAGAGGTTTCCTTGCAGCGTCTTTCCTACGTCCAGTAAGACTCAGATAAATACGAGCTCGCACTAGAGCATGATCTGAATCTAAGCATGTGCTCCAGAATGAGTGACAGTGTTCTATCGACCCCCTTTATCGGTGGCTGATAGCGATGTGATCTATTTGGGTAAAACGTTCGGAAGAATTACGGGGTCACCATATCAAAAGATGTTTTTCCTGATGCTTAAAGTTGGTATTTGCAAGAAAGAGGCGGTTATCTAAGCATAGGTGCACTAGACGGTCGCCATTATCTGTTGTTTGAGCCACAACACTATAAGATCCACCCAGGTGTCTTTCCCTTTCTCTTAGTTTACCTACTTGAGCATTAAAGTCACCAGCCACTATTACTACATCAGAGCGCCTAGCTTTTTGGAGAAGGTTGGAAAGCTTTCTGTAAAACTCATCTTTTACGTCATCTGAGCTGCAGTCAGTTGGAGAATAGGCAGAGACGATGAAGAGGCGACGATGAGTGTCCCTATTTTTCCGAGTCCTTACTGTTCTGTTTAGTTGGACAGTGCACAAACGACTGTCTACTGGGATCCAGTCTAAGAGAGCTAGTTCTGCCCTAGGACTCGATGCTATACATACGCCATCGAAACCACGGGAAGCAGCATCAGGGCTTCCAGATACACGAAGTGTGAATCGACTTGGTTCTTTATTTTAACATTGTGAAATCAAATGAATGACGCTACTCGGATCCTGTATGAGCGTTTCGGAGACGCAGCACACATCAATGGCGCGAGATTCTAAAGTCCTAGCTAAGGAAGCCTATTGTCCTATTTGGCACAGTGTTCAGACGTTAAAAGCTCCTATGTGTAGTTTAGAGCGTGGCTTCAGGAGACAGGAATAACATTTCGCGTACTCAAATCGTTTGCCCTAGCGGTGCGAGGTGATAAAGGGACGTGAGGAGGATTAGTCGTGGAGATATGAGAGGTGTCAGGAGGTGTAGGAAAGATTTGAATGTGACCAAATTGGTCTCGTGTGTTGCTACGGATATGAGGGCAGATGTCACTTCCCGGCTGCCCACACCGTAGAAGAGCATTTCTTGAGGAACCTGAAAAAGAAATCGGATTAGTGTTGGTCTTAACGACCTGGGAGCGTGACCGCAGAGCCCAAGGGACAACTGCTTGAGGCCGGTCGCGCACGACCTTTTCGTGTTAGGTTTTTAATGTGTTAGCTCCGTTCTTCAACGGGCCTTGCCGCTGGAGACGGAAATCCGTGAGGTAAGGTGAGGTGTGACATTTTCAGGGTCGACATTTTCTAACCCTTTCCTTCCTTGTGAGGAGGCAGAATCGCTGCACATGCTGGTTGTCCGAGGGAAACACCTTACTGCTGTCACACCTCTCTACAGTCAGCGGTACAACTTCGCCCTCAGACCTCGAGTTGCTGCTTTTAGTCTTGCCGTTCTCCAATCGACCTGCCTGGAATGATAGAACCTACAAGAACATATGTTTTAGCCAATATAGCTCGGTTGGGTCATCATGATAGGCAAGCCCGACCACCGCGTCAAGGTAGCAGCTACGGTCGGGTACATAGATAAGTTGTTATTGTACGAATGACTCTGCCCGTTAAATAAGTTAGCCTGAAAAACCGATATATGCTTACGCTGAATGTAGAGAAAATGGTCTATCTTTTACTTCCAAAATCATCTTAATTAGTTTTGAATGACTGTACTTTTAATAAAACCTTAATCACATTCCATCAATTTTAATGAGTGTGATTGTTGCTGAATTTTTGTCTAATTACTAAAATCCAGGTTAAAAATATGTTGTAAATAATTGTTATAAATAAGCGTTAACCCTTCTGAATAACATTTCACTCCATAGTTTAGCTAAAACCTGAACATTTGACTTAGTAGAAGAATTCATAGAAAACAAATAGTGAGAACTTAGTTACTTCTAATATTAACTATCTCAGCAATATGTCAACAAAGAGAGTGGATTGGTAACCATCTGACTGATTGAATACTTAGAGCTACTTTCATTCCTTAAAATACATTTGGAAATGTGATTACTGATTCCTGCAGAAAAATTCCACTTAGTAAAAATAATATCTAATGATATTTATTAAATTGACCTTGATGTAAAAGAAATATGTAAACTATTTGAATGACATACCGATCTTGTAATGTAAACTTATTGCAAAGGTGATACGACATGAAGTTACCACAATACTCTTGAAACATATTTCTGTATTAGTTTATCACAAAAACATGTGCACTTTTAAAAGTGAAAATATGCACACTGATGTGCGTATTGACGTTATTTATTTTCATTGAGATTTAAGATGATAATTTTAGTGGAAAGGCTGATAAAGAGCAGACAAGTCAAAACCTGGTTCATTTAGAAATTAATAAACATCAAACGACTTCAGAATCAATTGATCCGAATGAATTCTTTGCAAGTGAAAACAAGATTTTCAATCAAGTCAAAAGGCATGAAATAATGAATAAAGCAATATAATAAAAAATGTCCAAAACAATACTACTAAAATATTGCATACTTGTCACTTACTAGGCAAAGAAGGGATGGATTTAAATAAAAATTTCCAGGTGGTGGTTCATTGATCAAATTATAACCTAAAACATTATCTTTCTTCCCGAAACGACTAGTTGTTATCATCCAATATTCTGCAAAATAATTCCATATTCCTGAAACATTTTTATATATACTTTCAAATACATGTGCACTCTCATATGTGGCGTACGTTAGAAACCATTGGCTTTTACTTGGATCTTTCGTTAGTGGCCAAGGGCATTGAAATAAATATGGTGGTCGCTTTATTTTATCCATAAACCAATTAGGCACAGCATCAATTGCACCTAGACGTTTCGATAATCCATCTTGATGCAAATCAATGATGATATAAACTCCATATAATCCAGCATTGTCGATAATCGTTTCAATGATATCTAAGTACTCTCGACTGATTTCGTTTTCCTGTGGTTTTAATGCTATCCAGCTGAATTCTAAGCGTATAACATTAATTCCCCAATCTCTAAGTACTCTGAATGAATGAGGGTCAAGTAGTTTTGGAAAGTAAAATGGTGCGAATTTATGCACACAGTTGATTCCATGAAATAATTTAATAAATCCTTGTGGATCAACAAAGTAACCAGTATCATCGTCAATGGTGACTTTTGCATGAGCTTGTGAATGGAAGAATTTTGGTAGTAATATCATTATCCATGACAAACGTAAGAGTGCATCAATTAGAACGTTCATAATGTCTCCAAGAAGTTTATGTTGCTTTGAAGATCTTGTCGATCTCACCGAAGTGAATAAAAATTCCGTTTAAAACCACAAGGACAATGTAATAGGTTAGTGATTGACAGTAAATAGTAAATTAAATGAGAAACATATACTCAGTAATTTATTGCCAAGTGCAAGTACAAGTAACTTTATAATCACTGATGGGAGTGAAGATAAATATGGTATATATAAGATATTTAAGTTAAATGAGACAACTATAAATGGTTACAGATTACTTTGATTAATTTATTACAATGATCTAATTGGTCTTATATATATGTCACAGTGACCTTGAGGGTTTAAGGGCTGTTTCCAAATAAATTATCAAACTATCATTGGATCAAAGTTAATTAAAAATTAATAGTTAGCTAATCATTCTATTTTCAGTAGTTGCTTAACTTGTTACAAGTAATTTGAAGCTGAAATTTCAAGCAATGTCTACAAATTATCGATCAAATACAATCGTTATTAATGAGCATCCTAATGAGCTACGGATTAGTATTAATTGGTTAACTACTGTACTGTACAAAGAATACAGAAATTCGATCAGTACTCTTTTTTCCGAAGATTTCTAAATCACAGAAATAACTTCAAAAGCTGGTATTATTTGTTTCAAAAGGTGAATCATTCTATTTTATCTTAGCCAAGAAATAAAAAGTATGTTTACTTTGAATAAACTGTTACTGTTAATTCTGTCTTACGTTCTCTGTCCTTATTCACTTCACTTCATTTCGAATCTTTTACGTATTATTTTTCAGTACTTATTAATATTTAGTAAATAGAAGTATTCCTAGCAATTTCTACGCTTATGTTGTAACGCAAGTTGGTCGTGTAATACTCTGAAATATTTACATATTCTTATAACATTTATTGTATTTATCATTATAATTACTTATATCAATCATCGTATCAGTTGTTGTGGCTTTGTGATCATCTGTCTCTCCAATTGTGGCTAACTTATTCATGCATTCATTGGAAATAATTGCTATCTCAATGTGTTCCATTCCACCAAAAATTGGGGTAAGATACGTAGATGATACTTTTGTCATTAGAAAACGAGATGGTTTACACGAACTATTCCAACGGTTCAACAGCTTAGATGACAAAATCAAGTTTAATAAAGAGTTGGAATCGCCTGAACGCAGATTACCTTTTCTAGACTGCTTGGTTGAAAGGAAGGATAATGATTGTTTAAAAATTAATATATTCCGAAAGACTACATATTCAGAGAAATTTTTAGATTTTAAGTCTGCGCATCCACATTCGACCAAAGTGACAGTGGCCAAATTTTGATCACCAGAGTCAAAAAACTTGTCACTGAAACAAATGATATGAAAATGGAAATGAATTTAGTTGTATCCACCCTATTAATGAATAATTCGAACAACACATATAAGCGAACAATTGTTTTCAATTAGATCGTCATCAGGCTTTACTCTAATATACATGAATATTTATACGAAAATTTTAAACCAATCAAGGCAATATGAGTCAATAATCACAATGAAATAGAATAAGTCACTACACATAATAGGTAAAAGTACAAGTTGATAGTACGAAGACAGGTGAACAGATAGTGGTAAGAATAATAAACTACAATAACAAAACTCTTATCAATAATTAATCGTTGGAAATAGAAGGTCAAATAAACATGGGTAAATAGACTAGGAATAGTAATCACAAAACCTTAAAAATCATTACGTAATAAGATGTGTGTAAATAATTAGATAGTGAAGAATACAAAGAGGCGGATAATGACAAACAAATAATGGATGTGGAAATAAGGTTAACAATAACACAGATAGAATAAAATAAATAATGATAATAATAAAATTTAAAATAAAAATAAAATAAAAAATTGTTAGTTAAGTTATAACTGGCCATGGAAGGGATAGGGGAGTCACGTATTTCTTCTGTACACATAGATTGGGGTTATATGTACGAATTCCAATGGCTTCAGCTATATATAGGAGACGGGAACGGACTCCGTCGGGAAATGATGGAGGTATACGATAGATAACTCGAAATGATTTCGATTTCTCTACTGCATGACCGCTATCAATAAGATGTGCTAGTATAGAACTGCGAATAGTTTTTCTCTGACCCTTTATGTACCAAGTTGGTAGATGTTCACTCATTCGTTGGTTAAGTTGCCTGGTAGTACGCCCTATATAGCTATCTCCACAGGAGCAGCTGAATTTGTAAATGCACATGGAAGAGGTCAACTCAGGTAACTTATCCTTCGTTTGAGTAGACATCGCTGGTCGACAAGAGAAGGTCAACGCAAGATTGGCTGCGTAGAATGTCTTGGTGATTACTCTGGTTAACCTATATTTCAGAGTGTCACTAGCCACATCCCCGTTGAATTGCACTTTCATGTATAAAGGTTTCTTACGAACAGTCGAAATCTCCGACTTCTTTATTATATCCTGCATGTATTTCTTGATGAACGCGCTGGGGTAGCCGATCTCGGTCAGTGAGTTGTTGAGAAATTCAAGCTCCTGACTTAGAGTGTCTACTGTACAGATCTTGTTTGCTCTGCTCGTGAGACATCTGACCAAATTTCTCTTGTACCGGATGGGTGTGAAACTGCAGAAGTGAGTATATTGGCATGAAGAGGGTTTCTTCTATACACGCTTCTACTTAATGTGCCGTCACTTCGTCTGCTTAGCGTGACGTCAAGGAAGCTCAGCTTCTTATCATGCTCGCTTTCACCAGTGAAGGTGATCGCTGGGTGAACACTGTTGAATTGGTCTAGGAGTTCCTCTTTACTAGTGTTTTGGTCTACGATAATGAATGTGTCGTCAATGTATCGGCAATATAAATCCAGTTTCTTAATAGTCTCATTGAGAGGTCCGTTTTCTAGCTTTGCTAGGAAGAGGTCAGCTAAAATCGGGCCTAGAGGCGAGCCCATGGCTATCCCGTCTATTTGTCTATAGTAAGTATTGTTGAAGACAAAATGTACATTCAGAGTGCATCTTAGGAGCAGTTCCCTTAGGCTATCGTTAGGCAGGCCAATGTTGATATGTTTCTTTGATATTTGCTTGCATATAAAATCAATAGTCTCTATAAGTGGTACGTTGGTGAACAAAGATTCTACATCCAATGAGATCATATTTTTCATACTGACATTAATATTTTCTACTTTGGAGATGAAGTTGAAGACATCTTTTACACTATTTCTAACAACTGATTTGTGTAAAGGTTCTAGGATTCGTACTAGCCACTTTGCGATTTTGTGGTAAGGAGAATTGTACATATCTAGAACTGGGCGTAGAGGAAGACCCGATTTATGTACTTTAGGCAAACCATACAATCGTGGTGTAAATGATCCAGTCGGCTTAATTGAATCGTAAATCTCAGTCGTAATTATTCCTTTTTCGTTAGATCTTTAAGGAAATTGGCCAATTGTCTTTCTACTTTATTATTGATGTCACAATTACTAGTAATTTTCTGAAATTTGCTAGAATCGCTGAGCATTGTTTCCATTTTTCCCATGTAATCATTTTTGTTCATGAGAACTATACCTCCTCCTTTATCTGGTTTGGTTATGGTCAGGGTTTCATCTTTTCTTAGTTTCATTAAAGAGTCACGGTGCTGCTTGGTTAGTAGGTGATTTGTGGTACCCTTACTATTCTTGTATTGTTGGCAGCTATCAACTAGTGTGGTTTTAAACCGAGCAAGGTCATCCAATGAGGTAGGAATCAAGTCAGTTGTTTGTGAAAATAAATTCTCAAATTGTACATCAGTATCTAATTGGTTGATTCTATGTCTACTATCACAGAATTTAGGTCCCAGAGATAAAGCTTCTAGCTGTACTACATCTAGTTCAATATTGGAAAAATTATGTACGTACCGTTTCGTGTCGAAGGGAAACTCCTTTTCTGGCTTCTGGTTTTCCAAAGTTTTCATTAATTTCGTCAACGTTTTCTCAGATCTGATTTTGGAAATTTTTCCCCACATAATCCATAAACATTGACTGAAGCTCTGAAGGAAGGTTTTTAACGGACTATTGTCTCTGAAGAAGATTCCTTTCGAAGTCGCAGATATTCATTTTCAAAGTATCAATTTGATTCGACGCATGTCTTTCAAGTGTTTTTGCATTAGGATAGATTCGGTTACGACGTAAAGACTTCCAATATATTTTAGGATATCTATTAGATTGTATACAATTAATAGCAAATTCTAAGCTCGTTTTCGCTTCTGTGAGACGTGCATTAAACTTCAGAAACTTATTGAAGCTTAGCTTCCTTGACGTCACGCTACGCAGACGAATTGACGGCACATTAAGTAGAAGCGTGTATAGAAGAAACCACTCTTCATGCCAATATACTCACTTCTGCAGTTTCACACCCATCCGGTACAAGAGAAATTTGGTCAGATGTCTCACGAGCAGAGCAAACAAGATCTGTACAGTAGACACTCTAAGTCAGGAGCTTGAATTTCTCAACAACTCACTGACCGAGATCGGCTACCCCAGCGCGTTCATCAAGAAATACATGCAGGATATAATAAAGAAGTCGGAGATTTCGACTGTTCGTAAGAAACCTTTATACATGAAAGTGCAATTCAACGGGGATGTGGCTAGTGACACTCTGAAATATAGGTTAACCAGAGTAATCACCAAGACATTCTACGCAGCCAATCTTGCGTTGACCTTCTCTTGTCGACCAGCGATGTCTACTCAAACGAAGGATAAGTTACCTGAGTTGACCTCTTCCATGTGCATTTACAAATTCAGCTGCTCCTGTGGAGATAGCTATATGGGCGTACTACCAGGCAACTTAACCAACGAATGAGTGAACATCTACCAACTTGGTACATAAAGGGTCAGAGAAAAACTATTCGCAGTTCTATACTAGCACATCTTATTGATAGCGGTCATGCAGTAGAGAAATCGAAATCATTTCGAGTTATCTATCGTATACCTCCATCATTTCCCGACGGAGTCCGTTCCCGTCTCCTATATATAGCTGAAGCCATTGGAATTCGTACATATAACCCCAATCTATGTGTACAGAAGAAATACGTGACTCCCCTATCCCTTCCATGGCCAGTTATAACTTAACTAACAATTTTTTATTTTTATTTTTATTTTAAATTTTATTATTATCATTATTTATTTTATTCTATCTGTGTTATTGTTAACCTTATTTCCACATCCATTATTTGTTTGTCATTATCCGCCTCTTTGTATTCTTCACTATCTAATTATTTACACACATCTTATTACGTAATGATTTTTAAGGTTTTGTGATTACTATTCCTAGTCTATTTACCCATGTTTATTTGACCTTCTATTTCCAACGATTAATTATTGATAAGAGTTTTGTTATTGTAGTTTATTATTCTTACCACTATCTGTTCACCTGTCTTCGTACTATCAACTTGTACTTTTACCTATT